TGGGTTTAGGCAATTCTCTTGCCTCAGCCTCCCAAGTAGCTGGGACTACAGGTGCCCGCCACAATGCCCGGCTATATTTTTGTTGCAGTTTGGCCAGGGCCGGGTTTGAACCTGCCACTCTCAATATATGGGGCTGGTGCCCTACTCACTGAGCCACAGGTGCGCCCTATTAATACATTTTTAAAGAGGATTTTGTCAGGTAGACAGTTGAATTGGAAATTCTGAGAATAACTAACAGATACCAAAAGTTCTAATAAATAAAACAAGCATAGACCTAAGTAGGGCAGGCAGTATGTAGATTGGACCCGATTATCCCAAGAAAACTTAACATATGGTAATGAATGATACAAGTGACATTTATATCACTGGGGCAAAATGAGCTGTTCTTTCATTCATGTTGTATCCATTCAGAAAATGTTGATTGAGGGCCAGTGTCTCTCGTAGATGCCAGAAGAGATACATCAAGCAAAGCAAATAGAAGAAAATCCCTATCATGCTGTTTAAATTCTAGTTGGGATAGAGACAGAGGGTAAGTAAATAGAAGATAATTATGTGCAATAGAGTAAAAGTAAAGCAGGGAGAAGGGATGGTGTTCACAAGATTCCATTTGAGGGGAAAGTTATAGCCCTGTTTCATACTGTATAAAGAATAGCTACAAGTCAGTAGGTTAAAAAGCAGACTAATGTGGCAGACTTTTTTCTTTTGTTTTGATAGCTACTTCCAGTTCCTAAAGGAGAATGTAAAGCTGTCCAGTAAGCAGATAATACTTGTTGAGTGTAATAGGAAAATGCAAAAATCACACAGTGAGATACCACTTTTGACCTTTAGATAGACAAGAATTTAAGTTTGATAGTACCAATATTTTGTGAGTTATGGGGAGATGGGTGCTTACATGTATTGCAGATAAAACTGCTTACTGGCATTCTGTTTTGGAGGTTAATTTAAGGGCAGCTCTCAAAAGGAAAAAGCTACACATATGATGACCTAGGAATTCCACCTCTCAGTATCTGTGCACAGGTTTCTTGAATACAAGGAGGTATGGTAGAGCAGCATTATTCATGATGAAAATTTGAGAGCTTCCTAAAATGTATTTGAGTTAGAATGATGTATCTATTCCACAGATTTCCAGGACATAATTGTTGGGTGCAAGAGTTAAATTACAGACATTATATGTACGTACCAGGGATAACAGCAGTTATCACCAAAACTATTGACAGTTCTTATCACTGGAAAGCTAATAAGATTATGCTATTAGGCTTGGTGCCTGTAGCTCAAGCAGCTAGGGTGCCGGCCACATACACTAGAGCTGGCAGGTTTGAATCCAACCCGGGCTGCCAAACTACAATGACAACTACAACCAAAAAATAGGTATTGTGGTGGGCACCTATAGTCCCTGCTACTTGGGAGGCTGAGGCAAGAGAATGGCTTAAGCCTGGGAGTTTGCTGTGATCTATGACGCCATGGTACTCTTACCTAGGGCTACAGCTTGAGACTCTGTCTCTAAAAAAAAAAAAAGATTATGCTGTTAAAGTATTATTTATCTTTAACCTTATTTCAGTTATTTTTAGTACCTTTTTAAATGGAAGGTATATTTAAAGGGGCAGTTACATATAATATGACTACAGTTCCCTCTATAGACCTCAGTTCAGGTCTCATTTCCCAATGTCACAACCCATTTTGTCTGTTTTATCAGTATTAGTCTGGCATTTTTCAGGTGCTCTTGTACATATGGTGGTTTTTCTGTATGCCCTGACTTACCGATTCATTTGTAGGTCAGTGAATTTGTAGGTCCTACCTAGGCCTTTTGTTTTTAAAAAAACATAATGCCAAATGAAAAAGGGCTTTATTTGCTAAATATTTATTATTATTATGGGTAGCTTGCATTCTTTGGGTATTTCTGTGTTCTATATAAGTAAAATTCATATTTATTCACGTTTACCAATTATTCAAGATTATTTAAGTTTACTAATAATTCATTTATTGCCAAGTTTACTTAAATTTTAAATTACTTATTAGGTAAAACAAGTATCTTAAACATTCAGTCATAGAAAAATGTATTTAAAAATTAAATTTTTCAAATCATCTCATTTTTCTTTGTAGGTCGTTTATATGCAATGCAGACTGGAATGAAGATTGATAGTAAAACTCCTGAATGCCGTAAATTTTTATCAAAGTTAATGGATCAGCTAGAAGCTGTAAGTTAAACACTGATAATTTATTTTCTGGTTATGTTTAAAGTATGATTTTATTTGTATGTGTGTGTGTCGGTGTTGTCATTTTAGTTCTTTCCCTTGGCAGCAATCAGTAATGCCATTATACCTGAGGAAAACTTAGACACAGTTGTTTTTTTTTATTTACTCCATACTGCAGAGGAATTGTAAGTTGATTCAAATATCATTGCATATACCATTATACTATTTTGCTCCAGAGTATTATAGATGGATTTTGGCTCATCCTTTCCTAAGTGACTAATTCTTTCTAACCTTCCCTTGTGCAGTCACATGGGTACTTGATTTGTAAACTCTTAGATATCTCTTATAATAATGAAATGGACTATTTATTTAGTGAAAAATAATAATGAAGGAAATAATGGCAATTGTTTATCCTCTCTCTCTTTGGGTCTCAGCACAAGGTATTCCTATGGTTCAGATATCCTTTCCTCCTAGCAGAAATGTGATAGGTGACTAATAAGTCATCTTCTTAAACCTGACATAACTTTACAAGTCACTGTAGAAGTGCCTAATAAGGGAAAATTGAATGGGTTGTGTTTGGCACCCATGGATGAAGAAGACAGTGCCAGCTGTGTTGTCACACTTAGTCAGTAGTGCTCTGGTCTGTGACTCCTCTGCCCAGCCATCTCTGGTTTCTTCTTTAACCAAAGCAGGGTCTCCTCACTAATTCCTCTTCTCTAAGGCTATTACCTTACTGCTTTGGCTTACTTTTTATTTTCTTATTTAACTGTGTGACTTGCTCTGGAGAATTAGAAACCTATGTATTGGATCAATTGCATTATTTTGCTTTGAGAAACAGGATTTAGCTATATAAAAAACAAAATCAAAACATTTATACTAGTTAGCCCAGAGCTTTTTATTGTTTTCATTGTTTATATTTATTGTTAGAAAGTTGTCAGATCCAGACCTATCCCAAGACAGAAATTGCTGCTTAGTTGTTTTAGGCAGCCACGGGCAGTAGCATTCTTTCTTACTCCCTAGCACACTGACACAGAGCCCCTGTCACCTGTTACTGTTAACTGCCAAGGTGGGCGTGGTGGCACCACTGAGGGAATTCAGCTGTTACTAATGCCTGTCTGGCCTTCTCTTCAAATGCTACTTTTTTGGATGCAAGAAAAATTTGAATGCTCTCTTTTAGAGGGATGGGGTTGGGGCAGGAGGGAGCATGTTTCTCACACATGGCAATGTATTAGTAAAATTCTCTCTTTGTCATTTTATATAGAATAAGTCTCTTTGTTAATTTCACAGTATAGTAGTAATAGCTAAGATAATAGCTCTCAGATAAGATTGAATTCAAATAGTTCTATATAATACATAAAGTGCAAAACTACATTTGTAAAGGGATTCATTAGGAGTTTATCATTACCAAAATTAGATAACAAGTAGAGTAAGTTTATTTTATGGTAGCTACACATCTGTCTGTGCCATAATGTTTGTATTATGGTTTAAAAACTACATGTATATTATATTTAGACTGCCAGATATGTTTTATTATAGATGACATGAAGGACCTACTCCTACAAAAAATTTTCTAGAATTAAATCCACCTTTACAAATCATTTTGCAGTTTAGATACAGTGAGTTGGAGTTACATGTAGGGCTTTCTATACCCCCTGTTTTTGTCCGAGGTAAACATGGCCAAAATTTCCTTAAACTCCAGCATTAGAGCCCTTATAGACCTTAAATTATTCTGTTGTAATAATGAAGTATTTACTGTATTGATTTTATGAAAAATCCTGTGGCCTTCTTTTAATGTTCCACTTTATAACATCTTTGAAAAAAGCAGTTTTTAAGCAACAGGATAGCTTTCAAATCTGATATTCCAAAAAGTCATTTTATTCCAATATGGCAGTCTAGGTAAAAAGTAGGGATTTTATTGTTTTTAAATACTTTAAGTTATTGTATGTATAGGAAAGTGATACATATAGTCTGAAATCTGTACTATAAGTTGTCTTGATTGGAGGTATGTATTTTAAAAGCTTCCATAATCCAATTGTGAATTTCCTTTAGAATTAGAATCTCTTTTTTTATATAATGTGCTCTTAGAGATATACTATTTTAGGACATACTGTACTTTCTCATTTTATGTTTTTATATTTGATAGAAGTTGAAATGGGAATATTAAAATTTTAGATTACGCTTAGGAAGGTGTTTTCTAATTCCATTTTTTGGGTCACTGATAGTTCATTGGATAATATAGCATTATTTTAAAATTCCTTGATACACTATTACCTTTTTATATTCTTGGTTATTTTGATAGTTAGAGCTAAATTATTCTTTGAAATTATCATTAAGTGTTTCTTCTAAACTTTGTAACCATTGGATTTTGTTTTAAATAAATTGGAATTTTTTTGCAAGACTTCATTGATATATCATTAAAGAGAGAATATAAGATAATTTACTAAAAATGATTAAATCTTATTTATATTTAAGCTTCTGAAAGTCCAAAATTTTAATCTGATTTTATTTTAGCTCAAGAAACAGTTGGGTGATAATGAAGCCATTACTCAAGAAATCGTTGGTTGTGCCCATTTGGAGAATTATGCTTTGAAAATGTTTTTGTATGCAGACAATGAAGATCGTGCTGGGCGATTTCACAAGTGAGTAAGGAAAGAAGAAAATAAAAGTTATTTTCTGAATTTGGTTACCGTACAACCAGAATTATCTGGTATTCTGTGGAACACTTTCTGACTTTCTGATTAATGATTTAGATTTTTTTTTAATTGTAGAGCCTCAGAATGATTTGGGGTTACAAATGCAGGCCTTTCTTTTTAGAAAAAAAATGATTATGAAAGAAGAAATAGCAATGGCAGATTGATTTATTTATTTTGGAGACAGAGTCTCACTATGTTGCCCCTGGTAGAGTGCTGTGGTGTCACAGCTCACAGCAACCTCAAACTCTTGGGCTTAAGTGGTTCTCTTGCCTCAGCCTCCCAAATAGTTGGGACTATAGGCACCCACCACAATGCCTGGCTAGTTTTTGTTCAACTTACCTAGGCCAGGTTGGACCTCACCATCCTCGACGTATGTGGCTGGCGCCATAACCACTGTGCTATGGGCTCCGAGCCAGCAGATTTATTTTCTTAGTAAATGGACCCTAATTAGCCATTCATTAACCTTTAATAAAATCCAATAGTTGGTTTAGCCACAATCATGGCCTGGCCCAAAGATGTTGATTTTAAAAATACCACCCCAGCTAATTCAAATGATTTGTCATGGTAATATTTAAAAGCAACAAAATACATTATGGTTGATATGGATTCAGATAATACCATAATTATATTTTCTAAAATCAAAAGTATATGATAAAATCTTGCTATAGCATGTGTACTTATAATGCAAGTTTTGTTATGTTTTACCAATAATAGATTAGAAAAGGATTTTGTGTTCCTGAAATCTGATTGTATTTAAAACATTAATTTCAGAATACTTTTATCAACATTGGAATTTTTTTCTCTCAAAGGTACGTGACTAACTACACTTTAATGTTTTTATTTAAACTTGACCAGCTCTCTTTTTTCTTACAGAAACATGATCAAGTCCTTCTATACTGCAAGTCTTTTAATAGATGTCATAACAGTGTTTGGAGAACTCACTGATGAAGTAAGCATACGTTCTTTATTGTCTTAACTTCTGAAGATCGTGAAGATCGGTAATGTTGCAATTCATCAGTTTTGTTATTGCATTGCTTATTTAGAGCAGAATGTCCATGAGAAATGTAATATAAGCAAAAAATGTAATGTTAAATTTTTTACTTACCACTTTAACAAAGTAAAATTTACACTTCATCACATGTATACCTGCTGTATTGGACAGCACTTCATTTTATTAAGTGTTCATACATACTGCTAATCTTGTATGCTGTTACGTTTCTGCACTATAATTTGATAAATATACTGGAGACAGAGTCTTTTTGTACTATTCATTTTAGGTATTATTATTGATGTCTTGTTTTCCTTGCAAAGTATATGTGGTGGTTGATATTTTATCAATCTAAATCTTATGACTTCGAGATAAGCAGTGCACATAATCATTTTATACATGAGCAAGTTGAGGCTAAGTGACTTACTGCTTTGAGTTTGGTGTTTTTACTGTAGTAGGTTTTACCATTAGTATAGAAAATTTGTTTTCTGAGTTGGAATATTAATCTAGAAAGAAATAGAGAAAAAGGGAGAGCTACCAATGAGAATGATACATGTATTTTATATAAGTGGCTTAAATACTATGAGGAACACTGTTTTCTGTGATAGGATTTTTTCCAAAATAAAGAGTAACTCTCAGTAAAGTTCCAAACAAAACAAAGTACAATCTATATATGAAGTAGTTGCATTTTTTGAAGGTTTTTTTTTTCTTATCTTTGTTTTTTCATTTATTTATTTATTTATCTATTCTAAGTGAGACAGAGTCTGACTTTGTGGCCCTCGGTAGAATACTGTGGCATCATAGCTCACAGCAATCTCCAACTCTTGGGCTCAAGCAATTCTCTTGCCTCCACCTCCCAAGTAGCTGGGACTACAGGTGCCCACCACAACACCCGGCATTTTTTTGTAGAGACAGGGTCTCACTCTGGCTCATGCTGGTCTCTAACTCCTGAGCTCAGGGCAATCCACCCACCTTGGCCTCCCAGAGTGCTAGGATTATAGGCAACCACACCCAGCTGAGTATTTGCATTTTTATAAAAAATTATATACCAAAACTGGAAAAATAATCTTCTGTTTATATGTAAAATGCCAGTTTTCATTCCCCAATAATTGAAGTAACCAAAAACCACCTAAGATATCTTCGAAATACTCTCTAGGCTAGGGTGTGGGAGAGTGTGCCCATTGAAAGGCACTGCTCTCAGGTATTTTATTTTACAGAGTACTATAAAAGAGAATTGAGATCTGGAGTGTAAAAACCTCAACTGCTTCTCACTGGTATTACCTTTCTGGGATCTATGGCTTATGGATCCACCTACTAATAAGGTCAAGGAAGATGACATCTAAGCATTGGGTTTAGCTGTCAATATAGAAGTAATCTGTAACCTTGACAAAAGCAGGAGCAGGGAGTGGTGGGAATAAAATCCTGCCTAGGATGGGCTCTAAGATAAAATCAAGGAGGCAGAATCACTAATGCAAAAACCTTCCCTTTCAGTGTGGCTTTTTGGTATGCTAACAGAGAATGATTTATATCATAGTTTCAGCCAGGGCTATATTTTTTTTTATTACATTCTTATATGTTTCTTGGAGGCACTAAATTTGAGAATACTTGGTACAGGCTGTGGTTGGTGTTTTCTAACCAGTCGTTCTTCAGGTTAGCAAGTGATTTAAAAAGTAAATGAAAATTCATGTATATTGCTGCTAACTCTAGTAGCCAAAATTTGCAGTTGTCGGTGATTCTCATCAGTCCAGTTACAAAACAGGAACTTAGAGGCCAGGGACAAAAGTAAAAGTTCTTCTTACAATTCCTGTTTCCCAGAAAGGATGTCTCATCAGCCAAAAGGAGTTGATGAATTTCAAAAATATTGACATCTTGAAAATTTCCTCTTAAAATACGGTTTAATATCTGTATATTTTATCTTAAAGAAAACAGCATTGAAAAGTGTATTCGTTTTGGGTTAAAATTGCCAGAAATTTCTACTAAATATTGTATGTACCAGTTTGTAGGAATAGAAGTGTCTTGGAAAGTGTGAAATAAAAATCAAAATTATGTTACTTTATATGCTTTGGAGAAAATTTTTAAAATTTGTTTACTAAATAGAACCCTTTTCAGCTTAGAATAATGTTTCATTAAATTTCGCATACTAATGAAGAAAACCAAAGCAGTTTTAACTTCTCTACACTGTTCATGAGGAACCCTGTTTTCTGTGATAGGATTTTTTTGAAAACAAAGAGTAGCTCTGAGTAAAGTTCCAAACAAAACAAAGTACAATCTGTATAAGAAGTATTTGCATTTTTATAAAAAATTATCTACCAAAACTGGAAAAAAATTCTTCTCTTCATAGGAAAAATGCCAGTTTTCATTCCCCAATGATTGAGGTAACCAAAAACCACCCAAGATATCTTCAGAATCCTCTCTAGGCTGGGGTATGGAGGAATGTGCCCATTGCAAGGCACTGCTCTCAGGTATTCACACAAAGAAGTTAGGATTGGAAGAATTTTCCAAAGTCGTTACAATACAACTTACCCATTAAACCTTTGAATAGAATAAAATTATTTTAGAGGGAGCAAGATTTTTCCTATTTTTAAAAATCCCAAGAGCAATTTAAATTTTCTAAGAAACTTAATCATTGGCTTTTAAAATGGTCTTATTTATAACTACTAAAAAGTATATTCTACATTAATATGCTTTAACTTTTCATCTGAATTGCAAATTACAGTATGAATAATTATAGTTTACTAAGGCAGCCCTGACTACTGAAGTAATATGACCTTCAGGAAGTCAATTTAGCTTTGTAACATTTCTTTTTTTTTCCTTTTATTAAATTATATATGCATAGATCGTGAATACATTTTTGTCTTTTAGGGATTCAGTGTGTTGATTTTTTGTACAAATGGAAGTGCTTACATCCAACTAATCAACATAGCTTTCCCCTCATTCACTTAATCACTGTGTTAAGACATTTGTGTTCTATTCTTGATAGACTTGGTCTGTACCCTTGCAATATGCTCCGTATGTGTGGTCCCACCATTTACCCTCCCTCTATCAAACCACCTGTCTCTTCTCCCATCCTCTTCCCCTTCCCTCCTTCATCCTGGGCTAGAGTTGTGATTCATCTTTCATGTGAAAGTGTGAGTGATTATAAATTAGTTTCATAGTAGTACTGAGTACATTGGATATTTTTTTTTCCATTCCTGAGATACTTTACTAAGAAGAATATTTTCCAGCTACATCCATGTAAACATAAAAGAGATAAAGTCTCCATCTTTTTTTATCTCTGTAATGATGAAATTATAGAATCCTAAGAGAGAAAGATGAAGTTGGATAAGACAAGTGTCACACAGTTGGGACCGCCAGTTATTGCCTGGCTTTCACATTGGATTCATGCCTCCCTTTGTTAGCTTATTATCCCCAGCACTTAGATTACTGCCTGATCTTATAAATAATAAGCAACTGTTGACTTGCTGGAAAATCAGGCAGCTTCATAGGTAATCAACATTTGAGCTGAGCTTTGAGTAGTAAGAGACTTGGAAGAAAAGGAAACCATGGTTAGATCAGAGACAATAGCATGAGAAAAGAATGCAGATGAGATAGAATCCCATCTGAGTTGAGGGGAATAAGACTGAAGCAGCATGCACAGTATAGAGGCCCTTGAATGCCAGCTTTAACTATGTTTACGTTCAGCCAGTGCTATAATGTCTTAGAGCCTTAGTGGGAGTAAAACACGACCTCCTTAAATTTCAGGGTTATTGTGAGGACCAAGAAGGAGGAAAATGTGTGGAAGTGCTTTATAACCTGCAGAGTGCTATAAAGATGTTAGCAAGACTTTAATCTTTTGATTTATGTTACTTATCCAGCTAGCCCTCAATACATATCTTCTGCCCATGGCAAACTGACTTATCTTCATTCCCCAAATATTTCCTTTACTTCTGCCTTTCTGATTTAGTTCTGACTTTTCCTTTTCTGCACTTCTACCTTTTCACATACACATCCTGGCGTGACCAAACTAAAGTATCATTTCCTTTACCAGTCATCCTTTATTCTATTTTGTTTTTTGTTCTCTGAACTGTTCCGTGTACTTACTGTAAGAACAAATTTAATGCTTCCCATTTACTGTATTTTTATAATAAGATTTTTTCTATTTTAATTCCATATTCATATCAAGATGATTAGCTCCCTAAAGTAGAAATAATATATTGACTTACTTTATGTATCTGATATTGCTAATGGAAGGTCTTAATTCACAGCAAGTATTTATTGAGCCTTAAAAATGTAAAGGTTAACTGTATATATTTTATGTTTTTCCTGTAACAGGGAGACTTTAAATCACTAAAAATGTAAGTAATTACCTTCATTAGTTCTCATTGCTGGAGTGTAGGTAAATAATGAGGTAAATAACATCATTTTGTAGATATAGACTTCAAATGGACTTGCAAACCTAGACATTGTTAATCCAGCATTTGTAGACTTTGAATCCTTGTTGCTCAAGGATTTTGAAAAACAAAAAATAAAATGGTGCTTCAGTATGGATTTTTTGCTGTGAAACAATGAAGTATAAGATATTGTTGTTTCTATAGGTGAAAAACAGTCAAACACTGGAAATTTCAAATCCTTCTTTCTAACTGTACTTAGACTTAATTGAACTTTCCTAAACCCAGGAGCCCATTATACACGTGTATTCCACAAATTATAGTTCCTTACACTACCACAGAAACTTTGATCAGAATCATCTAAGCCATCATACATTGGAGACATGTATATTTGTTAAGTAACTACTATATACTGGTCACAAAGCCAAGTGTCTGGCATGTAAACAGCAGACAGATATAGACCCTCCTCTTAATAAGTTTCTCAGGGGTGCGTGTGCATGCACACACACGTGTGAGGGGGGTGTGTGTGTGTTTGGGGGAAGAGGACATTATACGTGTAAATATGTCATTATAAATTGTGATTAATATTGCCCCAGTTGGAGTCAGTTTTTTAAGTGTATTAGGAAGCCTAATACACTGAAAAGATTGGCCTGAATCAATATATATTTGAGAAAGATGACACTACTCCGAATATTGGGTAAGGAAGATGAGGGGGAAAGGAGGTTTATTGCAGAGCAAATGGGAAGCTGAAGACCAATTAAAGATGGATTTCAGAAGGAAAATCAACTAGATTTCTGATGTGTTAGATAAGGAAGTTGGGAGAGGGGCAAAGGATAAAGAGAGAGCTGCTAGCACTACTCACACTGGCCAAGAGTTGGAGTCAGCCTACATGTCTATCAGCAAGTGAGTGGATAAAAATTATGGTACATTCTAGGTCTGACAGTTAAGTTCACAAACTTATCCTAGATACAGACCTCATGGCTGAATATCACTATGGCTGTCTTCAAAGTACTCCCCTTGGGAAGCTGTGCAATGATGCCAACAGTTTTCAAACTCTTTTCTGGAATGGCCATCAGAGCTGTCATCATATTACCCTGGAGGTCCTTAATGCCATCATAATGTCTGCCTTTCAATATTTCCTTTACTTGGGGGTAAAGAAAAAAAGTCATTTGGGACCAGATCAGGTGAGTAGGAAGAGTGTTCCAACAGTTACTTGTTTACTGGCTAAAACCGCTCTCACGGGCAGCCCCCTGTGATCTTGATACATTGTCATGATGCAAGAGCCATGAGTTGCTGGCCAACATTTTCTGTTAAGATTTTTCTGTTTCTCATGGCTCGACGCCTGTGGCTCAAGAGGCTAAGGCGCCAGCCACATAGACCTAAGATGGCAGGTTTGGATCCAGCCCGGGCCCACCAAACAACAACAGCTGCAACCAAAAAATAGCCAGGCATTGTGGCAGGCACCTGTGGTCCCAGCTACTTGGGAGGCTGAGGCAGGAGACTCCTTTGAGCTCAGGAGTTGGAGGTTGCTGTGAGCTGTGAAGCCACGGCACTCTACCCAGGGGGATAGCTAGAGGCTCTGTCTCAAAAAAAAAAATTTTTTTTTTCTGTTTCTCTATTGATGTTTATTTGATCTGCTATGTTTCTCACAGTCAGCCAGTGATTTTAATGCACATTCAATGAATTTTTGCAATAGACTGACCTGTCCCTGATTTCAGTGCCACTCTTACCAAGTTTAATAAGAAATTTAATGTTTGTTGCTCTAATTCAAGCTCCAGCATTCTCATAGAATCACAAAAAAACCTACAACAACAATAATGAACACCACTCAGCAGGACACCACCACACATCACCATAAACACAACTATGATATGCTGATACTATGTACACCAAGGTTAGGAAACCTGACCAAGTTGTTTGTACAACACTCCCAACGTAAGTGCATGGTGGCAAGTTCATGAGCTTAATTGTCAGACTTTGTATACACAGTGGACTATTCTATAGCCGTAAAAAGAAATTCTGCCATTTACAGCAATGTGAATGGAATTGGAGAATATTATTATAAGTGAAATAAGCCAAGCACAGAAAGACAAATCTCTCATGTTCTCACTTACATGTTGAAGCTAAATAGTAAAACAGTCTCATGGAGACAGAGAATAGAATGATGGTTACTGACAGTGGGAAGGGTAGCAGGAAGAGTCATAAGTGGGGATGGTTAATGGGTGCACGGATATAGTTAAATGGTTAGAAGGAACAATATTTGGTAGCACAACATAATGACTATAATCACTAATAACTTAGGGTGTGCTTTAAAATAACCACAAAATAGAATTGAAATATTCCTGATACAAAGAGGTGATAAACACCTGAGGTGATAGACATTTCAGTTACCTTGATTTGATTAATTTATATTAATTGCCCACATCAAACATTGCATATATCCCATAAGTATATACAACTACTATGTACCCATAATAAGTAAAAAGAGAAAAAAATTATGCTTAAAGAAACAGGCTCAACATTTTATAACTAAGCCGCTAGGGCACCAGCCACATACACCAGAGCTGGCAGGTTCGAATCCAGCCCGGGCCTGCTACACAATGACAACTATAACCAAAAAATAGGCGGGCAGTGTGGCGGGTGCCTGTAGTCCCAGCTACTTGGGAGGCTGAGGCAAGAGAATCACTTAAGCCTAAGAGTTTGAGGTTGCTGTGAACTGTGACACCATGACACTACCCAGAGTGGCAGCTTGAAACTCTTGTCTCAAAAAAAAAAAAAAAAAAGGGAAAAGAAAACAGCAGCTAAAAGTGACTCCCACACATTAAGAGAATGAATGCGGGGCAGGGAGGAAAGGCGTAGGGGAAATCAAGAGAACAGTTTTTTCAAATTAATTTTAGTCCCATAGGAGACATCCAAGTGGTGATGTTACATGGACACAGGGGTATTTGTCAGGAACAGATTCTGGCTAGTACATAAATTCAAGAATAATAAAGACATCAGTGGTAATCCTAGCCACCAGAATGTGTGTGGAGAGATAAGAAAATAGGCTACAGGGCAGGCTCCTGATTGTAGGAATCTGGTAGACCATGTAATGAGTGAAGGCAGCCCGCTGTGAGATGAAGGGCAACTGGCAGGTTCAGGAACACGAGTTGGGAAGGAGTGAAGGTGAGATGGAGACGGAAGAGATATTCATCATCTGAATGAATATGCATCATCTGGAAGGACTCCGCCTATTCAGTTCCCATAATTATTACCATGTAAATGTGGGTCCAGATCTTCCTTTTTTAAAAGAGAAGTTAGAAATTTGGATTTTCTGTAACTTTCCCCATATTTCAATATAGCAAACACAATTCATACTTGAAATTCTACATGAATCGGCACTGATTGAGCACACTTGTTTGCAGTCTCTGCTAGGACAGGGTACTTAAAATTATTTGGAGGTCAGATAAAGGATTAGCAGTCAAAGGAGATAATAGGAGAGAAAGTGGGAGAATAGGGTGTCACAAAAATCAGTGGTGGAGACTATTTCACAAAGTTTGAATGACCTAGAATTTAATACACTTTTGAAGTTTTGCCTGAAAAATGTCTCTTGGATTTTCCACTGTGGAGGAGGCTGTTGGTAACATTAGCAAGAGTGGTTCCTGTTGTGAATTAATGACTTAAGTGAGGTGCAGGTTGGCATGTGTGGGCTTCCTGCCATTAAAAGGCACAGAAAAGAAAAGAAGGAAAGGAAAGGAGGGATAAGGGTAAGAGAAGGAGAACACTACCCCTTTTTGCCAGAGTGAAACAAGTGGTGAAGGCAAGACTTTAAATGTGGACATTACTTTTGGAAAACTCATTGTGAAGTGGAACAAAACAGAGTCTTAGCTGTAGAAGAAAATTGGAATCATTATGTGGAATTTTTTTGTTTTTTCAAAATAGTCTCACTGTGTCACACTGGGCAGAGTGCGGTGGCATCATAGCTCACAGCAACCTCAGTCTCTTTGGGCTCAAGCAATCCTCTTGTGTCAGGCTCCCAAATAGCTAGAACTATCAGCACCCAGCTGTTTTTAGATATAGGATATGGAATTCTTAAGCTCAGGCAGTTCACCCACCTTGGCAAAAGGATAAGAAAAAGGAAATGAAATGTGATACAAATTCAGTAATTTTGAGGGTTACCATTTTTTTTTTTTTTTTTTTTTTGAGACAGAACCTCAAGCTGTCCCCCTGGGTAGAATGCCATGGCATCAAAGCTCACAGCAACCTCCAACTCCTGGGCTCAAGCGAGTCTCTTGCCTTAGCCTCCCAAGTAGCTAAGACCACAGGCTCCCACCACAATGCCCAGCTATTTTTTGGTTGCAGCCGTCCTTGTTATTTGGTGGGCCCGGGCTGGATTTGAACCTGCCACGTTAGGTGTATGTGGCTGGCACCTTAGCCATTTGAGCCACAGGCACCGAGCCAGGGTTAACATTTTTTAAATTTCTATATAGACATTATCTGTGGTAATATCTACAGAATTACATTATAAAATACTTAAGTGTCTGGACCATATGCTGTACTTGTGCTTTTCCATGACTTAATGAATCTTTGCAAAATACTACCCTATGTTCAGTACAGTTGTTTTCAACATAGTAAAACCATGTGTTCTATCAAACTCTAAGGTGTGTACAAATCACCTGGGGATCTTATTATAGCAAGCATAGATTCTTTCAGCAAATCTGGGGTGGGCTTGAAGATTCATCATTTCTAACAAGTTTCCAGGTGATACCAGTGCCACTGGTTTATGGATATTATATAGGTCCATTGAAAATACAGACTAAAAATCACCATCCCATGCAAAATCCTGAGACATTTTACTCTTCTATTTTTTAAAGCAAATTTTTCTGTTATAACATGGAGCATAAATTTGAAGGCAGGAAAAAAGAGGCAGCTATCAAGTTTCTCAGTGATATTTTTAGTTTTCTTTACAACAAAACAATGAGGTATCATTTTTCCCTTTTCAGAACTGAGGTAACTGAAGTTCACAGTTGTACTAGCATGTGGCTAGTTTAAAAGGTTTGCTTGTCTATCAGTCAGGTGTTCACTCTTTAACCACTACATCACCTTAGTTTTCCTTTTGTTTTCATAGATTTATACAGGTCTGGTTTTTTTCTCCTTAGTGAAAATAAGTTTAACCTATTTTTATCTTTCATATTTAACCTTAGAATTCCATTTAAGGCTTGCACATTTTACTGGCTGGACATTCCCTTATTTTCATTGCAGATCTTTTCTGAAATGTGAAACCACAAGAGAGAATTGCGTATGTGTTTTGAGGAAGACAGCTTTTCATGGAGCCTGTCAAGCCCTAAACAGTTGGTATTAATAGAATCCAGCATTAGGGCAGAGAGATTGCCAGACTCAGAGCTGTAACCTGTGAAAATGAGTTCTATCTTATTTTTGGTTTGGGTCACCATAAATGTTTACTTTTTACTTCTTTGCCATAGTCCAATATTGATACAAAAATACTCTCTTTTAGAATGTGAAACACAGGAAATATGCAAGGTGGAAGGCAACATATATTCATAATTGTTTAAAGAATGGGGAGACCCCTCAAGCCGGCCCTGTTGGAATTGAAGAAGATAATGGTGTGTATTCATTTGTTCTAAGTAAAATAATTTAGTAGAGTCATAATTGTTAATTTTTATTCAGAATTTTTGGAAGGAACAATGCTATTTTGATACCAGGGCCAAAATTCATGAAAATTAAGTGTAAAATAATGAACATAGACATAATGAGAGTTAAAGGCCCACCTTTGTAATATCTGTCCAGATCAACAAACAGGCTTGTCTGTCTCCTTCTTAACACATTCATTTCTGCATAAGAAAGGCAATCCATTTATAATTTATAAAATGTTTCCATGCAGCAAAAAACACTATTTTTTTAACATCTATTTGAATTGTGTGGATGATTGGGGGTAGAGAAATAAGTAATACATTCATATGGTTCAAAAGTTTTGGAGAATAGATGGGCATTGTGGCAGGCACCTGTAGTCCTAGGTACTTGGGAGACTGAGGCAAGAGAATCACTTAAACCCAAGAGTTTGAAGTTGCTGTGAGCTGTGATGCCACAGCACTCTATCGAGGGTGACATAGTGAAACTCTGTCTCAAAATAAATAAATAAGTTTTGGAGTAAATAGAAAATATGAAGTGACGTTCTCATTTCCACTGTATCCTCCATCTTCCCAGATCCTTCCAAAAATCAAATATATAAATATGGTTTGAGTTTTTTGTATACCTTTACAAAGATCGTTTTTTATGCATTTATGAACATAATAGGAATATGTACCCTTCTTTTTTCATACAGATGGCAGCATACATAACTGTTCTACACTTGGCTTTTTTTTTTTTAATTTAGTATGTACAAGAAAATGTTACCACCACATAATGAGCTTTAAAAATTTAATCAGGAAATAACAGGTTTGTTTCATTTGGACTTTCTGTTAATGTACAATAGAAAAGGAAAAAAGTTGTTTACTTATTGTTTTTATTTATTAGACCATTATGAAGAAAACAACCATTGTACTTTGAACTGAGAAAATTCCAAATGATCCTTGCATGTTGTTATACAACTTTTTAAACATCTGTAAAGATAATCATCTAATACAGGAGTCAGTAAGTTTTTCCTTAAAGGATCAGATAGTAAATATTTTAGGCTTATGAATCATGCAATCTTTATTGCAACTGTTCAACTCCGCTGTTGTTGTGCAAAGGTAGCCATAGACAAGGTGTAAACAAATGAGCATGGTTATGTTCCAGCAGTACTTGTATTTACAGAAACAGCCAGCATACCCACTGGTCATAGTTGGCCAGCCCCAATCTAATTCATCTCCATAGGTCTGTTATTTTAGTGAATTTCATTATAAGATAGCCTAATATTGAACCAACTGGACATTGGGTAACAAGCCCCACCTGGTCATGATATATTATTTCTTAATATACTGATGAATTCAGTTCACTTCTATATCACTTAGGATTTTTGCCTTGACATCATAACTATAATTGATCTACAGTTTGCATTTTTGGTTATCAGTGTTACACTTGCATCCTAAATACAATCTGAAAGTTTCTATTTCTTTTCTATGCTTTGAAATGGTGAAATCATCTGCTCTTTTAATACTTCCTAAAAACTTGTGAAATTACTGGCCCTGGCACTGAGATAACTCTTTAGCACTATGGTCTGTGTAAATCTGTCCCCTTAGGATTTTTTTCTTTTTGTTTGTTTTAGAGACAGAGTTTCATTTTGTCACCCTCGGTAGAGTGTTGTGGTGTCATAGCTCACAGCAACCTCTAGCTCTTGGGCTTAGGCAGTTCTCTTGCCTCAGCCTCCCGAGTGGCTGGGACTACAGGTGCCCACCACAACTCCTGGCTATTTTTTTTGGTTGCAGTTTGGCTGGGGCCGGGTTCGAACCCTCCACCCTCGGTACATGGGGCCAGTATCCTACTCACTGAGCCCCAGGTGCTGCCCTAAATTTTTTTTCTTATATTGTATTTCTCAACCTAGAAAATAAACATGCACTGATGAAATAAATGATACCCTAGTACTTTTAGCCCATTTTAGTGATTTCTGAATATGTGCGCTGTCCTCAGTTTTCAGTTCTAAGCTGCAGTTCTGCACGGGTGGGATGCAGTATGTAGAGACGGTATAGGGAGCCACTGGCCAAGTAGAACAGTTGAGTATTTCCATGTATCATTTAAGAATGAGGAAGCAGCCAGTAAGGACACGTAAAGATGCTGAAACCTTTAGTCATTAGGGGGAAAAAATTAAAACAACAAGATCACCTATGCACTTACTAGAATCTAAGGCTAAAATTTAACAGGCTAATAGTACCTACCAAGCTGATAAAAGATGCTGAGCTCTCTCATGATGCATTATAGGGAAGGAATTGGCATTTATAAAATCAAACACATCGGGTGGAGCCTGTGGCTCAGTGACTAGGGCGCTGGCCCCGTATACCAGGAGTGGCAGGTTCAAAGCTGGCCCTGGCCGAATTGCAACAACAACAAAAAAATAGCTGGGCATTGTGGCAGGCACCTGTAATCCCAGCTATTCGGGAGGCTGAGGCAGGAGAATCGCCTAAACTCAGGAGTTGGAGATTGCTGTGAGGTTTGACACCACGGCACTTTACAAAGGGCAAAAAAGTGAGACTTTGTCTCTTAACAAAAATAATAATAATAAAGTAAAACACATGCTTAGTGTTAGAACTGGAAGTCTTCTAGGCATTTATTTACCAATGAGAAAGGCAAACATACATTTACACAAAGACCTAAGTGTGAATATTTATAGCAGCTTTATTTATTGTAATTTTATTGTAATTCCTAAAAACTAGAAATAATCCACATGCCATCAGTTTGCAAATGAATGAAACAAATTTTGGAACATCTTTGCAGTGGACTGCTACTCAGCAATTAAAGGCAGTGAACTGCTGGTACATGTAACAATATGGACTAATCTCAAAAGTCTACCAGTTGTATGCTTAGGTTTATGTAACATTTCTGGAAAAGGCAGTGCTTTAGGGACAGAAATCAAATCAGTGAGTTCTTAGGGGTAGGTCGAGGGGATTTACTACAAAGAAACATGGTAAAAATTGGGAAGATGGGCATATTCCATATTGTGGCTCCGGTGCTGGTTATACACTACATAAAGCGTTTGAAACTGAATACCTTAAACACATGTACAAATACTGTGCATTAATTTTAAAAGCATGGTTTTTGCTGTATGTAAATTATACCTCAATGAAAGTTCCCCTCAAATGACAAAAAATAAAATAAATAAAAAGAATGAGTAGGGAAGACAGGAACACCTTTGTATTTTATTTATTTATCCAAAGAATTCTTAAGAGTTTTATCATAACCACTCAGTGAAAAAGGAATTTGATCTTACATATGAATGCTATGTGTAAATTATTTCCCACTTTATCTTCTAGAGATATACACTTCCATGCATTATTCTGTTCTGGCAGTACCTGAAGCATATTTCGTGCTCTGTCTTTACCTAAATTTTAAAGTAGTTTTTCATTTAAAATGCTTCTGGTACCAATTTTACATAATAAATGCCTTGCACTCACATGTCCTTACAGCCTGCGATTCGTTTTTACATATTTTGTTACATGCCTCAGAAATCCCTCAAAGGTAGTTTATTTTGCTCCTGTTTTATTTGAGGAGAAAATTGAGGTTCCACATGGCTGTTGGCCTGCCTAAGGTTAGAGAACCTCAGAAGGAGGAGAATCAAAATTTGAGTTTTGGCTTTCTCCCTCTAAGTCCTATCTTTTTTTCACTATTTCTACAGCAGGAATAATAAAATTGTCATTAAGTGTTTTAAATTGACCATTCTAAAACATGATTGCCTTTTTGGATTGTTTATCATGACAGTAGAATTGCATTTATTTAAAAAATATGTTGCCACAACCTTATTTCTCACTTTTTCGTTTAATATGGTAGAATGTTATCTATACTTCCTTCTCTGCTTTAATACTGACCGTAATCAGGGATGTTTTGTGTCAGTCTGCATACTGCTTCCAGTTGTCTGCAAGAAAAGATGTAAGATCCTTAAGCCTTCCAGCAAGATTCCCGCCTGACCCCACCTTTTTTTCTGCTTTATTCCCTACTCCAGTCTCCTTTGTGTGCTGAGGTTGCCATAATAAAATGCCGCACACTGGATGGCTTAAACAACAGAAATGGTGTGGGTTTTGTTTGTTTGTTTGCTTGCTTGCTTTTATTAAGTCATATACACATAGATCATGAATACATTTATGCATATGTGGGGTACAATGTGTTGTTTTTTTATACAATTTGGAGTGCTTACATCAAACTAATTAATACAGCTTTCGCCTCATTTACTTGATTATTGTGTTTAGACATTTATGTCCTATACTTGATAGATTTGACTTGTACCCTTGCAATATGCTCCATAGGTGTGGTCCCACCATTTACCCTCCCTCTGTCAAACCCTCCTTGGAAGTTAGAAAGTCCAAGGTCAAGGTCCAACAGGGTTTGGTTTCTGATGAAACCTATGTTCACCTAGCTTTCAGATAGCCGCATTCTCTCTGTGTCATCGTATGGTGAAAAGAGACCCTGCCCTCCCTACTTCCTCCTCTTATAAAGCCACAGTTCTATTAGATTAGGACACTACCCTATGACCTCGTTTAACTTTATCTTCTTTGTAAATCCCTGTCTCTAGATATAGTGGCACTGGAGACTCCTGCTGTGATGGCTGATGAAGTTCATGAGTCACACTCGTGATCTCTTTGTCAGTCGGTGGTTCAGCCACAGCCTTAGCATTTTCTTTACAACAAGCTTCCTCATTTTTTCCAATATGGGTAGAGTAAGAATTTCAGCTCATTAATTTAAAATATAATCTGGTATCAAAGTCAGGTGTTAAGTCATAATATCTAGAAATACTTCCTCAGAAATGGTTTATGGCTCTACAAGAGAATCTCATTAAATCTGAATATGTATGAGAAAAGTCATCTTTAAAACCATAATCTATTTTTTCTTTTTCTCAATATATCATTATATTCTGTTGTATTTATAAATTAATTCTTACAAGATGCTCCAGGTATAAATGGTATTATGTTTAAAAAAAAAT